GGGGGGAGAGGTGTTGATTGGAAGGATTGGAAGGATTAGAAGGGGTTATGGAGTAGGTAGTGGACTTGAGGGTTATTGGGGTGTTGTGTTGTGTGGTGCGTTGTGCGTTGTGTGGTGTGGTATGGATACTATACTTATCATATTTAGATTTTGGGTTTTGTGATGGGAGAGGGCGGTGGGCAGTGGGTGAGTTGGCGGAAAAGAGATCTTTCTAGATTTAGGTGGAGGGGGTTAGTATGGTATATATAGTAAGATAAATAGATAAAAGAGGGAATTATATACTACGTTTGAAGTTTGATAAAGTGGTATATGTATCTGTATAGGTATAGGGAGTTGAGAGTTGAGAGTTGGGAATTTGTATGTGATGTGATGCTATGGGTTACTAAGAGGCTTAGAGGGGATATAGATATAGATATTAAGTGTTTGTCGGGTTTTAGGGGGAGGGGTTTAGGTTTGGGTTATTAGAGATGTTTGTGAGGGGGGAGGTGGNTGGGGGGTGGGTTGTTTGGTATGTTGGTGAGAAGGGAGGTGGGAGGTGGGATGTGGGATGTGGGAGGGTTTGTGGTACTTGGACTTTGGAGGAGGAGGAAGAGGGAGAGGGGTTAGCATTAGAAGATGGGGTTGGGGGTTATGAGTTCGGAACTAAGAGTTGGAGTTAGTACTGTAGGTAAGGTATAGAGAAGGGAGGGAGGAGGGAGGAGTGAGGATATAGGAGGTAGAGAAAGGATATAAGAGGTAGAGGGAGAAGGAGGAGGAGAAAGAAGTTAGCTAGCTAGATACTTGTAGTACCTCTTTTTAAGAATCATACATAATCTATCTACAACCAAGATCAATCATCAACGGGAATGATTCAAGAACCTAACTCGTTAACTAAAAGTTCTTAACTATTTTCTAAACTAAACTGCTAACCATTTTCGGTGTCATTTGTCATATTATTTGGCTCTATAACCCTTCATCCTTTTTTTTTTTACGATTCTAATAGATGATTCAGGAGAATTTAGCCGAGAATACAGCCTCTACCACTTTTCCTTGTGTGGATTGAGGAATTAAGTTTTCGTAGCTTCTATTGGTTAATAGTTAGGTGATTTATGTTCAATTGTTAGTCGGTACACGTTACATCAATGATCAAAGGAGGCTTATTATTGGTTTTCTTTTGTATTACTAGCTAGCTTTAAGTGCTTATAATTCGCCTATATATAAGTGGAAAGCGAAGAATAAGTACCCTCTGCTACGTACCCCTTACGGGGGTAGTTTAACTAACTAAATACTAAGTAGTCGGACTTCGACTATATTATAAACTAATTCGAAGGCTCTATCTAGTAAAATATAAAGTTTAGAGTAGGGCGATAACTTCGGCTAGATAGTTAAAGAAGTATAAAAACTAGGGTCTAAACCCCTCCTAAATCGTAAGGCAAGTATAGTAAGGGGAATATAGGTAGGATAAAAGTATAGCTAATAATATAGTGGATATTATTATAGTAGTATTAAAGGTATATAGTAGTATAGCTATATTTCTAACTTATATTAAAAACGTAATTTTCTAGAAATATTAAAAAAGGTTTAAATAACCTCCTTTACTAAACTACGTATATACCCCTCTATATATAACTAAATAATAATATATCTAAATAATATAGTTCGTAGCTAAAAATAATCGGAATATATTAAAGTTAAAGTAGCTAACTCGAATAGTTTATACTATACCTCTAAGTTTTATACTAGACGCTATTACGTAAATCTACGCTAAGCTAAGAGATTACTAAGATATAGTCGACCACCGCTTTATAAAACAACTAGTATTTAATTATAGTATAATAATATCAATAGTATATACATATAAAAAGCTTATTAAATTTAATATTCCTTTAAAAGCTCTTATAAAAGACTTAAGCTAATAATAACCTACGAAATACTTATTATAATTAAGCGTCTTTTAGATATATAACCTTAGTATTATTAGAATTCCGCGATAAATAGCTTATTTTTATGAATAAATATAATAGTAATAATTAAATAGGAGATAGAGCTTTTAGATAAAGTAAAAGTAGCTCTCGCGTAAGAGTATAAAGTGTCACGAATCACGTGTTCACGTGATACTTGTCATAATAAGAGGCGCAACCCTCGACAGGCACATTCAGATTTCTTATAGCAAATGGGGATCGCTTAGGGTAGCTAGGTGATCCAAGGATTTCTTCCTTACAGAAGATCATGTGACTAGGGAGTATGAGGAAGTATAAGGGAGGCTTATACTACTCTAT